AGGGCAAAAAGCACAACCATCTTGACGGTTTCACGCGACTACCTGCACCCTTTGCAGCACTGGCGTTCCAGTGTGCAACGTCAGGGGGCCCTACGTGGCTGAAGTAGTAGCATCCAAACTGCCAATAAAGTGCATCACTTGCGATATCTTGTTCAGGTTTCATGTGAGCGCGCATATCCCGAGCGTCTAGGCCATAGGTGTCCCTTTGGCAAAATGGATCTCCCTCGTAGGTTACGAAACAACCAGGTCAAGGAGGAATCGCCATCGATGTGTCTACAACCAGAAGGAAACTACTATGGTCTAAGCGATTCACCGCTCCTGCTATTCCAAGCGGCATCCGATAAGCAGAAATTTAGGACGAGTCCGGGGGTCACACGGTCACTATGGCCCTTCGCCAACAGACCATGAAGCAACATGCCCGGGTTGCCTGCAAAGGCTTAATGCTACACTTGACCAGTCAGGAGTGTATCTTCCGCGACTCCAAGGTATGGCAACCTCCATGCAACTCATGGATAAAATTATCAGTACAACCCTGAAATGATCAAACCCCCAAGTGGTGCAAGCCCTGTTTGAACCTGCTCGCAAGTACATTTCGCCCATAAGCGCCCTCCCCGCTGCAATGGGTTGCCAATGGCCAAGTCAAGCAATATGCATCAGGAAGTCGTGCCAAGAAAGCGGACTTACACTCTAGCAGGCCATGTGCCAAACCCACGGCGAGCGATTTTTCCGTCCAAAAGCGGACGAGAATGGGGTTCCCTCACATGTGTCTGTTTGGTGTGGTTCAAACATCACCTGTTGGAAAGGCGTGATGTTTCAAGGGCGCATATGAGAAACCTTGATGGAACATATAAAACTTCTTCTGCGGGACATGGTTATGAGGCTGGATTCCTTACCCCACTGCCGCATGAGAGACATCGCGACCAAAACCACTACATATCATGCAGGGGATCCCAGGCAAGCCCGTATAGTAGGTAACCCTTCGTCATGTTCCTGTTGTTTGAAGGGTGGCAAGCCCTGGGTTACCTACAGGTAAGGGGATCCACTGGGCTACAGCCATTGAAAGAACAGTTTTTTGATGATTCCAAAGGCCAGTAATAACAGGGTCCGCAAGCACATATCCAACCACCTGCTTTGCAAGGCGGATGTGATTTGTTCAACTAGCCCGAGTTTCTATCCCTTTACGAACCCTGTGCAAAGAAAACCCAAATTGCAATCGGGTGGAGTTTCACGCGCCCCGATTTGCCAAGAGATGCCAATGAGCCCTCTTTCTTGATCCAGGAACATCCGAACGAACATGGGGTGGCATGGGTGGCAAAGGACCTAAACAGGGTTGTAGGTGTTTCTTCTCAAAGAGCCGGGCCCCCCCAAAAAGGGGTTGCTTCCCCTTTGGCCCTAACCGATCCCCTCCGGAAGCGCACCAAAAAAGAATTCGGACGCCGCGCCTGCCAGGAACCGCTCACAGCCCTGAGATCCAAGGGGGCGGTTTGGTGGGCTTGGGACTTCGGGGGCTCCAGACTTTTTTGGTTTTGAAAGGAATTGAGGTCAAACTCCACACGCCGTTGCAAGTGTTTCAGTGTTTCTTCCCGGGCAATCCAACCCAAAGCACGCTGGGCAAAAGGGTACTCTCGAGAAACTACACACCACACGCATGGCCTGGTCGACGCTTCAAGTCTTTGCTTGCGACCAAATGAACCCAACGATCGAACGTTGTTTTCGCTTGAACGTCTCAAATGGCAAGTTGGATCCAGTGGCCGTGGCAGTAGAAACTAAACATGCTTGGATGACTACTCTTTTAAGGGGAACCCAAGCAAAACTGCGCTCTCTCGGCATTAAATCCAACAGCTCCCAGTCTGCAGTACGCGAAAACCGGTGCTCCAAAACCCTCAATTCTCTGCTTCCACCGGCTGTTGGAAGAAGACTAGATGAAGGAGTTCGACTCCTTAGATTCCTTCCCAACGTCTGCGAAAGAGAAAAAAAAAGATGAAAGGGGCACAGCGTGTTGAAATCCAAAAAGCCGTGCGTTGCTTTTTGCGTTTGGCTGGCCTTGGCCCGGCCCGCCTGCACTGGAGCCCGACGTCTGACCAGGCCCCAGTGGCGGTAGAGCCCAAGGCGGCCGACCTGGGACGAGTCTGCCACAGGGGCAGCGGCCTTTTCTCCGGCCGCCAGGGCCTTCTCCATGGGAAGGCCTGCAATTTGAAAGACCGGCATGGTGAAAAAGGTGTCCTACCTTGGAAAGGAGAACGTTCCTGAATCTGCACGAATATGTCTATATGTATGTAATACACACGACTAAAAAAAAAAAACATTTGGTATCAAAACGCCCCATCCGACTGAAGCTTAGAGCACCCTTCAATTCAACCCAGCTAAGCAAAGTGGAATACCCGTTCCACCGAACATCCCGACCCGGATTTGTTGCTATGGTTCTGCGCTGGAACTGCAGGCGTTCTGCCCACTGCGATGTCATCTTGAGATGTTAAGTTTCACTTGGAGCCGTCCGGACTCCGAAACTGCAACTACAAACTATGCACCCAAACCATGGGTGTCTTGCCCAAAGGTCCCTCACTTTTTCTTAGTGTTGAAACAAACTACTCAGTTGCCCAAGGGACCTGAAAAGAAAAAGGTTAATCAATTTGGGCACCATCACTAAATATGCACCAAACCAGGGAAACCAAAACGTTAAAAGGTCGGCTCTGGCCCTTTCAGCCTGCTTGCGCCGGGGCTTTCAGTGACTGCAGTTGGCTTGCTTCAGAGAATGACCATCTGACCGTCGAAAACTAAATACGCATAACTCTATATATATATATATATAATTTATATCAATGAACAATCATATATGTACGTATAAATATGCTCGCGCATACAGACACATATATATATATATGTACTATATTTATTTATGTATACATACCGGCACCTGTGTATGCAATCATTATACATGGCAGCATCGTCTGTCCAGGAACCTCCAATGCCATTGGACTTGCTATGTGCCGAACCGGTGCCGGAAGGGGACTCCCCGGTGTGAGATAGTCACAGGAATCCGAGATGCTGGGCTGGAGCAAGAGATCTACGAGGTCTGGGTGGCTCGTTGGATTTTTTTTTGCTGGTACCCCCGTTTTTGGCCGTGGAGGGAGTTTCAGGCTGCAGGTTTGGGCGTCCCTGTAAAAGCAAGACCTGCGCGGCGTTGAGGATACCTCACCGGCTGTTGAAGAGGGCCAAATCGAGCGGGGGGAGCCATGAGGCACGGAAGGGAGGACAACAAAAGAAAGAAACAGACTGGAATTCATTTGAAAGGGGAGAGCCACACTTTAGGTAACAACAGGTTGTGGAAAATGGGACCAGGGTTGCAACCTAAATGGTATCGTGTGCAAATGGCCCGCGCATGACGTGAGATTTACATGGTGCGGAGTGTTTGTATTACTCGGTTGCTTTCTGCTGCCCTGCTACAAGTTTAACTTTTAGTGGTTTAGTGGAAGACCCATTAGTTGGATCAAACAGTTAAAGTCCTAACAGCCCTTGGCAAAATGCACCAAAGATTAAATGCGGTGAGCATTGCGGCTGAGCTCCCCGACGTGCGAACACAGCTAGTGGTCATAGTGTCTCCACCGAAGCGACACCTGCGGCTTGCCCGCGAGGATTTGTGGACAAATTCCGCGGGTCGAGATCGATTGTGCGTTCCCAAGCGAAGATAAATCTGGCCCCTTGGCTCTTGAGGGCGAACTAAGGGAGCTCAAAAAGAAGGAGGGGCATGCCAGGTGAAGAGGCTGGGCCCTAAGAAAAACGCTTCACCTGGAATGTTTGCTCTTTGCTCTGTTCGAAAGGGCAACTAAACTCACTTCCTGATGGGCCAACAAAAAGTCTTAACTTTTTGTCTAACAACAAAATGGTCTTCCCAGAAACTCAGGAAGTGAGTAAAGCGAATAGTTCCACTTCGCACTGGAGGGCAAACGGTAAAGTTCGGTTCTTTTTCGCACCGGTCGCCGATGGACTGACTCATCGACAGGCACACTGTACACACCAGGGTTGTAGGGTTGTGGGAAATCACCCCTGTGATGCTGCGGATGGGCAAAATCCATAGGCACCAGGTAGGTGGCTTGTCCTGGTATTCATGGGGATTCCCAGGTGCGAGCTGGATTTTTTCCAGTCACGTGGCTTCACGGGAAGCAACCGATTCCTTTCCGCCCTGGTACAAACCAATGGGGCCGAACCTTTTGGGCGATCCGATCCTTGAATTCCGCTGTTGGGCGAGAGCCCAAGTCCTTGGAATCCACCTGCCTAGAATTGCATGCCCTGGGCGTAGGAAAAAAACATGTCCTGCGTTTCAGTTCTCTCAAGGCCAGGTGAAGCAAGGATGGGCACGCCCAACCAAAAGACGCATGCAAGCGCAAGGCATTCCTAGAAGTGTCCAGGTAGCTGCTAGCGGCCGGGCTCGTATTCCGAACAGCCCAGGCGCTAAAAACTCCATGCCTTGCCGTGGCTCCAGCCCCAACCGCCTTCATGTGAGGTCCAGGTTTACTGGAGCTCCCAAACCAAACGAGAAGTATGTTCGAACAACTGGCATGTTCTCGCTTCTTGGGTGAATTGGCGACAAGTAGTGCAATTTGTTGGGTTACCACCAAAATGTCCTTCCCAAAATATAAGGTCCAGGAACTCAGTCCCAAATGGGCTGTTGGTGCAACCAGCCTCACATGCCGAACCGGCGCAGGAACGCACGCCCAGGCACGTACTCAAAATAGGAGCTAGGCATGCGCCGCACACTCCTGTTTAAAGGTCAGATGCGTAAAGGGTTCGTCACATCCAGCCTTTCTTGTGCAAAGGGGCCTCAAAGGCACCCGGCTCGAATTATCGTCCATAAGGCGGTCTTTTGTCACTGCTCTTTCCGAGCGTGTGGGAATTCTAAGGGTTCGGCCGGATTTCTAGTGTGGCTTCCTATAGTGATAGATTCCCTGTAAAACCACCAGGGAAATATTGAACATATTCCTTTGAGCAAATGGAAGACCCGCCTATCCGTAGACTTTGCTCCGCTTGAAGTCACAAGGCGGAACCGGCGGGTCTGCGCCGTACTTGGCTTGGAAGAGAGATCGCGCCACAGCCACCTGACCGAGGACCCCCCGAGGCGAAACAGCCCAAAGCCCGAAATTGGGGCCGTAATCCGGATAAAACTGGGGAGACCACGAGTTGGGGTGTCATGATGCCCCTTTGCTGGCCCTTCCATCGATTTGAACTCGGCGCTGAGGAGTTGTGGTTTTCTTGAAACTTGAAAGGAACTAGCAACTAGCATGGCTTTGTGGATGGCTTGAAATGTAAAAGGAACCAGCATGGCTTTGTCAGACGCGACTGCTTCACGTGCTCCAACAACTGCGCCTAATAACCATAGCCCATGGGCTCCATGCAAAAGAAACACGCACTTCTTCATGCAGGATTGCATGGCAATGGTTCCTTGACCATTCTCTGAGCATATCTTTCTTGAGAACCCTCAAAATGGGTGGTTTTCCTCCAAACAAGGAATACTTTCCCAAGAAGCGAAAAACACCCATGACCCATGTGCCAAATAAATATAGGTTTCCTTCTACCCCCCCCCCCCCTACCAAAAAAAACAAAACGGGGAGCCCAAAGCCTGAGACTCCTGAGACCGTCACATTCGAGCTTTCAGCGGATTTCTGAAGGCAAAAAATGCCAGGTTCACACGGGATACACGGGTGGCTCTTCTTCTTTTGAGGGGACCCATGACTTTTGGTGGCAATAAGTGGAAAACCCTTATCATTGAAAAGAAAAAACAATGAACAAAAGTAATCTTGGTGCCCAAAAAGAAGGCACCCTTGACATGAAAATCCGCGGAAGCTTGGCCACTTCCATTCCGAGCCAGAAACTCTAGGCTGGCGCAGGTCCAGTGCAACACCTGTGGGTGTGAAAACGATCTACGGGGCGGGCATGGCAAAAACTTAGGAAGTCGTCTTGGTCGACGTTGGACGGGGAGCAAAATCTAAATTTCAAGGGAAACCACCAGGAAACCCGGAATTTTTGAGGGTTGTTTTGAGACCAACTTTCCTGTCTGATTTCACGTGGAAAAACACCATCTTGGTGGGGTGCCCTAAAAGAAGGCCCCCTTGACATGGGAATCCGCGGAACCTGGGCCACTTCAAACTCTAGGCTGGCGCCGGTCCAGTGCAACACCTGTGGGTGTGAAAACGATCTACGGGGCGGGCATGGCAAAAACTTAGGCAGTCGTCTTGGTTCACGTTGGAAGGGGAGCAGAAATCTAACATTTTAGCAGTTAAGTGGTTGGAGTTCAACCACTAAACCACAAGAAGCAAAATGTAAAATGTGTCCCAACAACAGCCATGTCGTGATGGCTAGGCTGAACTGGCACAGGTCCAACTCACTTCCCCTGGAAGCTCGACATCCACCACTGGCAGTTGAGCCCCTTCCGTACATAACTTCCATCCACGAAAAGGAAGATGTGGTGTCAAAATACGGGCATTCGCCCACAGACGGTATTCCTTTGGTTTCCATTTAACACCTCCCCAACCAGGGAGGCAACAAAAACAGCCAAAACCAAGACACATGGGCAAGGAACCGCCCCATTTTTTTTCACTCCAGCCCGCCGCAAGGCGCCGATTGGCTTCGGAACCCCACCTTGCGCAGATTCACCTCTGTGCTGTTCCCGGCCCAGAACTCCTCCTGTCGACGCCCCAACACCCGCACACCTGGCAACTCGAAACCTGCGCCATAACTACCCTAAGCCTAGCTCTGAAAATCTTCCCCCCCTCAACCAAACAAACAAATACGTCTTTGACCCTCGTCCGGTGAAGATCAAGATGCGAAAAAACCGCTTCAAACCCGGCGGGGGCCGAAAGAAACATACGCACTCATCCCCCAGGAACAGGGCTGTGGGGAATGGAATCCACTTCTGTGATGCAACGGAAAGGGCTTCCCAAAAACTACTGTGCTTGTATAAAGGGAACATTTCCCTGTATCACAGAAGTGGTTGGAGAAACCCCTTGATCCCACAACCCTGCCCAGGAACATCAAGAATCATGGGCTATCTGACTTAAAACATCCATACGTCCAGGTTGCGGGGAGAAACCCCGTGTAAGTACTCCAACAGGCCTAGATACACACTTTTTTGGAACATCACCAAAGGCATCTCACCTCAAATTGGCCCAGATGTTCAAAACCAAAAGGGGGCGTATCCTCTGGGTTGCTCGTTTTCCTGAGCAAGAGATCCAGCCTTGCCAAAAGGAAGGCGCCATCGAACACAAAGACCAGGCATGATAGTCAGCTTCTCCCTGATTGGTGAATTGGTGGTTTGGATGCTAAGGAAATATTGGAAACCTATGCTGCAAAGCTGGGGTTCAAATCCCAAACCAATCCACATCAGCACCGCAACACCTCACCCTCGCCCCGGTCCAACTTAACCCTGCACCTCCCCTGCACTGCGATTAAGGGTAACCTAACTAGGCTGCCCTCAGATCCCCCGCTAAAAGTTTAACTTTTAGTGCGCACAATGGAAAAACCACCACCAAATACCAAAAAGATCCAAAAAGCTAAGTTGAACCGGATGGCCTTCGGGAGCCACCAAGCCACCAAGATAGGGAACACAACGCCAACCAAACCCTAAACCATAAACTCAAACCCAGCACAAACAGCCCAACAGCTCAACAGCTCAACGACCCAACACCACGCCAAACCCGACGAAGCCGAGCCTCGGTGGCATTCTCATAGAGATCTGTGAGCTGCACCTGCCCTGCCGACTCATAGCTCCAAGTGCCTTATGGACAGAACCAATGGAACCTCCAAATGGAACCACCGGTCGGACCGAACCAATGGGAAGCTGCCACATACGTTTAGTGCCATATCGCAGGTTTAGGGATATGAGAATCCTGATATGACATGCACTTGGACATAAATTGCTGCCACCAATCATCTGTGACCGCCATTAAAAGTCATAATAGCCTCAAATTGGCTTCAAATTCCCTTTGGCTTCCCCCTGAACACACCCCAGAAAGTACCATAACCCAGAGCTGGGCCATAGCGCTATCTTCCAGTCACACATTCACAAAACACCTCGTGCTCCCCCCTTGAACCGTGAGTGACACCTCCCATGGTATGCGCGCTTTTCGAAGGGTCCCGTTTTGGAGAACAGTGTCTGGTGTGATGGCCCGGCTTACATGAGTTGCTTGAGCTGGCGCAGGCTTGGGATGTTTTAGCTGGCACACTGGACAAAATATTGGAGGCTAGACTTGCAACAGCATCCGATCGAAGTATCCTCGGATTCGTCATGGTTTTTGCTTGTGACCCCCGCTGGAAGCACGCTTGCCCAGTGAGGCAAGCTGCTCTTCCCAAACATTCACTGTCTGTAATTCACTTCCCGAACTCTCGCGTTGGTATCTGAGTTGGGTTCAAAGTTGGCATAGATACCAAGCGGCACTTGGAGCCTTAGGGTGTGGGGATTCCTCAAAGCTTGGTTGCTGCTAGCTCGCCTCTGCAAAAAGTTCTTAACGTGTGGGTCCAATGGAAAATCCGATCTGTTTCAAACAACAAGTTATTCAGTGATTCAGTCCAGAGATCCGTTCCCAAAAAGCCATAAAGAAACGAGTCCAGACTTCTGGGCAAACATTGGCATTCTCTGCCGCTCATACCCACTCTTCTCAACTCCAGATGAGAATTTGGCTTTGCATGGCTTCAGGCTCGTCTCGGTCTGATCGGTCCCCTCAAACAACCTTCCTGGACCCAACGTTCCCTGAGACAATGGCAAGTTATTTTCACCCACCGAATTGGGCCAACAAAACAAAACATCGTTGGGCCAAAAAACAAAATTGGGCAAAAAAACCCACCGAATTGGGCCAAAAAACAAAGGAATCCTTTTGAGGGCAGCTTGAGGTCGCTCACTTCCAGAGCCCCAGACCCCAGACCCCAGACCCCAGACCCCCAGACCCCCCCCCAAACCGCCAGATCGCCAGGGCGCAATCGAAGGCTCCGGTGGGAGACTCGCACTTGCCTCCCGGCTCCGCCTGCTGGCAGGCGCCATCCTGGCTCCAGCAACGTTCCAAGCAGGCGTTGGCCCCATATAAATCAAAAAACAACATGGTGGTTGTCCTTTTGGGTTTGTTATTTCAAAGGCGACACAAAACGGATACCCTCAAAGGAAAACAAAATGTTGATCTTATATTAATCAACCCCAGTTTATTGATATGGGGGGGTTTTTGGCCCTCCAAAAGTGAGTATTCCCCACTAAACCCATGGACATCCCCCTATTGATAAACCGGGGATTATATATATATATATATATGTGGCCAACATTGTGGCGTAAACCTGAGCCAAACTTAGACCCTCCCATCTGTACTTGCATGGAACCCGACGGGAAAATGGTCCCTTTAAAAGGGAACTGATCCCAACCAGGGTCAGGTTCCATGTAAAAAAGGTGGGAGGGTAGACCCCTTCAAAATCCCCCATGGAGATTGTGGGTGGACATGCCAGGACGCATGTGTTTGCTGGTTGAAAGCGAAAATTGTGGAACATCAAAAATGTAACAAATTAAAAGGCTTTTTCCGAAGTCTGGCAACGAAACCGCTGTTGTTTAATAAAACCCTCCTTTTATTAGGGCTTGGTTGTTTAAACAAATTAGTTGGCCACTGGTTCTGAGGTTGCACCCTACCACATGTCCCGGGTACCCACCCTCTGTTGCCATAGCACCTAGGCTTGAAGAGGTAATTGCTCATATAGGCACCCTACCACAAGCGCGGCTTATGGGCGAAAGGGTGCACTCCGTGTGCTCATCACGTAATTGGTCGACTGCGGTCTGTGGCCGGTGTCTGCAAACCATGAAAGAGATTCCACACGAAGGAAGTAACGTGGAAAGCCCGCCAAAGGGGCTTTTGATCTAGGGCTTGCAACAGGCCAAATTTGGAGCAGTGCACCGCCGGACAAAGTGCTGAATACGTGCCGGCAAGAAAATGTTTGAAGGGAAAAATGGAAACATGCTCTGGTTTGTCAGAATCCTCTTTGCACCAGTTTTAGCTAGTTCATCCCAGTATTGATGGGATTGCATCCATCGCAACTTGTGCGAAAAATATTTTGTGCATCCACGGCAGTGGTTGGGATGTGTGTACTTTCACGCTAGCAAGTCCCACTTGATGCGGTGTACTCTGAGTTGCCAGTAAACACTGAGATGAAACCACACCAACTACAAAAACATACATATGTGCATATATGTGTTGATATGCACTATGTGCCACGTGCCTCGGGCAGTCACTTGACCCATTGGCATCGGCCCCAATTGGCATGCCCTTTGACGGCAAACTTGTTCATAGGGTTCTTGACCTCACTTGCACAGTATGAATGTCGCAGGATACAACAAGGGCGCCATGGATCAGATACGGGAATTGCTGCCACCGTTGACAAAATGTGCATGTGCTTTTCAAGCTGACACATTCATCGCCACGCGCTTCTTGTTTTTGGGGCGGGACCCTTTGTTCGTGTTCAAAGGAGAACCGAATGCCCCCCATGTTGAGATGTAGATATACATGTCATTCCGGGTTGACCATCTCGAGTGGGAACCAAGGAAACGGAGATCTTAAGCTAGGTCCTCCAGTAGAGAGGTTAGAATAAGGGTGCCCTTTGTTCTGTAGTCTATTTTAGTAGGGGAACCCTCCCCCCAACAACTGAGCGGCAAACTTGAACATTTTGAGACACCCGGGACCCAGGGAAAGCGTCATGTCACAGGTTTGCACATACAGGGCCCCCTGGCTCCCTATATTTCCCCTTGAAACATCACCCCCACCAAGGGACACAAAAGGCGATGTCAGGCGATGTCTAAAACCACCACAACCCTGACATGCGACCGGCGCGGATCCCTGCGGGCCTTGTCCAAGTAGGACTGGGAAGGACATGGGCCGGGGAGGCTATACCAAATGCCTCCCGGAAAGTGGGTGTCGTAGATCCTCAGCTTCCCGACTTAGCGCGGCTGCCAGGCTGCCAGGCCCCCTCTCCAGACAAACTTTTTCCCCCAGGAAACTTTTCGAGCAGCGCCAGAACATCAGGTTTCCTCTTGCGGCCGCAGTTGCCACAGGCCATGGTTCCAACGGTTCCAATAGGCTTTCAATGCCCAACGTGCCTGTAGGGCAACGGCAGCTGAAAGTCAAAATTCAGCCGAACGGCGAAGGGATCTCCACAAGTACTTCAGCACCGATTTAGCTCTTCTGTACCCCTCAGAGCCTCCCCCGTCCCTACCCCAACAAATTAACAGTAGACCTGGAGCACTCTTCGTGACCTAAATTTCTGCCCTTAGCCCAAACGTATTGCAAAACCAAGGGTCGTCACCAAAATATGGTAAACGTACACTCTTCCTGCTTCGAGCGCTTTGCCAAGAACCGGGCTGACAGTCCTCCAAGATGATCGGTCGCTGAAAGGAGCGAGCAGAAATGGAAATGCAAAACGAGCGCAGCGTATCCGCAAAACGAAGGAACGTATCCGCAAACGAGCGCAAATTAAAACAACGTAACAATTGCTCGCCTTCCTCCGGATGGAAGAAGGGGATTTGATCGAGTGTGTTTTCAAGGCGCGAGCATTTTGCTTCTTTCTTCTTTTTTTTTTGGGGGGGGGGATCGAGCAGAAATCGGTGATTCGAGCTTTTTTTTATTGTACCTAAAACAACAAGGCACGTTGGGTGCTTCAGGGACCAATAGCATGGCGAACTGACAGTGCTGCCGCAATCAAGTATAATGGATCTTGGTGAAAAAGCCTTTGTGACGGGTGAGGTCACCAACCGAAATCCTTGTGAGGTCGCGATTTAATGTACTCAACATAGTCTCGAGGTCGACTCCCCTTTTTTTTGCGCGGAATTCACCCGTTGGTTGCCATCAGCGCATGCAGCACATCTCTTGATCGGAGGCGCGGAAAGGGCCAGTCCCCGAGCTTGTTGCAGCCCACGTTGTACCCAAAGTCCTGCCAGTCCATCTCACAGTCCTTCGACCCGTCGACCCGGCCGGGAGGAAGGAGGGTGGGGCGGCCATCCCTACCAAAGGAGGGTGGGGGGTGTGGGACCGCTCACCATAGACGGAGACCCCCAAAATCATCCCACCCAAGTCCAGATTCAAGGGGGTTACTCGGCCGACAAACCCCAGCGAACTTGTGGCTGGTGGGGCGAAGGTAGATGGCACCCGAGTTCGGTCGTCAGAGTTAAAACTTTTGGCTTGTGTAGGAGTGCATTTTCCCCACTTGTATCGCTTTTACTTCCTCAGGCAAAGGAGTTGTGCCATCCATGCGAAGAAACATGTGCGTGTTTTAAAATAGAGGGTTTCCCTTCACATTAACGCCAAAACGATCCAAAACGGCTACGCAAAAAGGGTACCCGCTCAAATACGGAGATAGGGGGGACGAAAAACACACAAAATGCCAGAAAACATGTTCGAACGACAAAGCGCAAATTGGGTTTGCGTCGAGTCTCCAAGGCTGGCTTCCAGCTGGTTTCCCTTTTCAACCAACTCCGGTCAAAGTCCTGCAACTCGCAAATCATATTTGGACATTTCCTGAGAAGAGACCTGCTCGTTGTACCCGAAGTTTTGGCTCACGGAAACGAGGGCAGGGTGGAAAGAGGGACTCACTTCCTGAGTGGACTTGCCAAACCAACTCTCAAACCGTCTGTTTCCCACTAAAATTGCCTTCCCAAAATGTTTATGGTGCAGGAACTCTGGGAATGAGAAGAAGCCTAGTGTGCAAAAACTGAGGGAGAATCCAGGGAGAAGGTCTGATTGGAGGAACGCACGTGTCACGTGCTGAACCCCAAATGGACCATACACTATCAGGACAAATAGCCGAACCTCCGTGCGTCATTGACAAAACTCCGTATGTGGGCGCTCCCGATTCATTTTGGGCCTTCAAAAGGCCAGGTTTTGAGACCTCAAACCCCCTCTGGGGTGTCCAATGGAGGGTCTGGGTCTTCCATTGGAAGCCTCAGGGGGCCTGGGTAGTAGTAAGAACCTTTACATGGGTTGGCTAAGCCCGAATTGAGAGGTTAATGACCTACCAGCCTCGACAGAGTTCCGTAAAGGATTCGTCCAGCAACCTCCTCTTACAAGGGGATCCCCAAAAATGGTGCGTTTCCTTTTGGTTCTACTTGCTGTAAAACGCGAAAAGGGGGTACCCTCCAAAACACACACCTGACGTCCCAAACTTTCGGTTTACTCAGATGGTACAAAACCAAATTGACCAACATGCCTCCAAAAAACGCAAGAAACCACCCGGAAAATCGCAGCCCTGCCTTTGGCCTATCCCCTCAGACCGAATCCTTTCAGGGATTCCGATTTATTTCGGGGAGTCTACAGAACCCTCGCGCAACGTCGGTCCGGCCCGGTGCACTTACCACTGTCGAAGGCCACGCGGATGCCGAAGTTCATGCCCTGACGCGGATGCCACGAGTAGCACCCTCGCGCTTCTCTCAAGAACAGGCCCCCTTCATGGGGGTCGAAAAAACAGGGAGGGGGCCCAAAGGCAGGAGGAGGTCAAAAAAAAAGGAGGGGGTCACACAAGACAAGAGGGGGTCAAAACAAAGTGGGGGGCCCCTCAAGAAGTTGCCAAATGGATACAGGCCCAACATGAGGAGCCTTTTTGCGGAAATTGTCACTTGTGAACAGTTTGAGGACTGAAAAACGCCCTTTTAGCTTCCATGATTCTTAGAAGCACAAACTAGAGTTTCGTGTATCGAACGGTTGCCCCTTTCCGTGAAGGTCCTGAAGTGACTTGGGGGCGAGTGCCTGGTTGGCAGGGCTGTCTTTGGCACACCCACCATGCTGATCCGCAAGTGTTGGCTAGTCCAGGGCCAACATTTGCTCTTTCCAAACACTGAGACATTGGGAGAAATCAGCTTGCCATGGCACAACTGGTCCGTTTTTATGGTCCAACGCAACTGCACCGATTAAGCACATTGACCATCGCAAGAGCGCAAGTTTCTGGCAATGCAAGGCTGTGTACATACCAACCAACCAACAAACAAAAAAACAACACAAAACAAGAACACAACAAAAACACATATCACACAATAGCGCCACGAACCCAACAGCCCACCTTGTCCAGCAAAGGCTGCGTTGCCTTCATGGTTACCTTCAAGCGCAGGATGCGGGTGATGCCAAACTTCGCGCCAGGGCCATAGACACCAGACAGGACCTTGGTAGTATTGACCCCATTTTAGTAAGTCCCTGTTTATGAATATGGGTACAGGTCAAAATGAAACCACCAGGGGACCGCAGGGTTTGGTCCATGATTCCACGTACCAGGGTTCCATTTGGGGTACCTAGTTTTGAGCCACAGCCATATGGGGTCGTATCTGGTTTTAGTGGGGATGCATCACTTTTGGAGGGGAACACCCACATATTCATAAACAGGGGTTTATTCATCCGGGGTCAGCATTGTGTCTTCCTTTGAGGGTACTCGTTTTGTGTCGCCTTTAAAGGAAAACCTAAAAGGACAACCACCATTTTTGGGGGGGGGTCCAAAACCTGAAAAGGACACAACCACCTCACACTTGTACGCTCAAAAGGAGTGCCCCCAAAACCAGACACATGCACACAAACACATTGCCGGTAAGTGGGCAACACCTGAAACTGTGGTTTGTACACAACAGTAGCCCCACTTGCGCCTTGCGCTGGCAAAAAACCACTCACACGAGAACCGAGGTTGCAAAGAAGACACTCTGCCCCCCCACTGGTTTGGATTTGTGGTTTGGAGATGATATTGTTGCTTTCATCAATGGCCAAAGGTTCAATTCCCCAAGCCAATGCAAACCACCGAGGGGTACAGGGTGAGAAACGTCCACCGAAACAAACAAACGCACGAAAGCGCCTGAACTCTGAACCGCCATGCCGTCCACCCCGCCTCGTTCTGCAGGTACCACATCATACCTTCCAAGTTTCCCGCGTTGATGTTCTCCAGCGTGTACTCGGCATCGCTCTGCGCGCGGTACATGTAGAACTCGAGCAGCTTCCCATCGCTGGGCTGCGTCAAAGGGTCGCTTGGTATGCTTGGTGTCGGCGCCTGAGTTGTCGGCGCTGTCGTCGCCGGCCGGGTAGGTGCCGCTGTTGTCGGTTGACTTGTCCCTGTCGTTGATGGCTTTGGCCGCGGCGTTAGCTGAGCCGTCGTAGTCGGCTCTGTCGTTGATGTCGGCGGCGTTAGCTGAGCTGTCGTGGTAGTCGGCTCTGTCGGCTTAGTCGGACTGGGCGTTGTTGGCTCCGTTGCCGGCGTGGATGTCGTCGGCTCTGGCAAAGCCGGCGCTGTCGTGGTTGGCGCCGGCGTGACTGGCCTGCAGCGTCGGGCAAGCCAGTTGAATCATCTGATGGATGGATGGATGGATGGATGGATGGATGGATGGATGGATGGATGGATGGATGGATGGATGGATGGATGGATGGATGGATGGATGGATGGATGGATGGATGGATGGATGGATGGATGGGATGGATGGATGGATGGATGGATGGATGGATGGATGGATGGATGGATGGATGGATGGATGGATGGATGGATGGATGGATGGATGGATGGATGGATGGATGGATGGATGGATGGATGGATGGATGGATGGATGGATGGATGGATGGATGGATGGATGGATGGATGGATGGATGGATGGATGGATGGATGGATGGATAAGTGGTCGTTCGGGCACTGCAGCCTGTGGTGACCATCCCTCCCGCCACTACGGTTGGAGTTCTAATTCCCCAGGACTGGCTACCCCGTGCAACAAGCAATGAACTCACTAGACACCAGTTGAATCATCTTGAAAACCATGAAGGGTTCAAAAATATTCACCATTCTTCTAGGTTTCTCTTGGCCCGTTTTTGGAAGACTAGGCACCCTTGAACGGATTGAAGGGAAACAAACAGAAACCCCCGATGTTGGGAACCCAATTGTCTGCACGCCTGACCAGATCACAGCTCCAAGGGGTCTGCCACTGGGGCGGGTCGTTGGGATTGATACCTGGCGTGCAGCTGTGTAGGCACAAGGCCACCGCGGGATCCTTGACGTAGCACTTGGTGCTGGGGTCGCAGCAAACCTCAGTTGACTCCGAGACTTGGCCTGTTTGGGGTTACTTAAAATCAAGCAGTTCGGCGACTCTGGGTAGGCTAGGGTAAGTCCTGTCATGTTCGGAGACCCAGGGCTACTCCCGAAAGTATCTTCAGATTTGGTTTCATAGTTTGTTGTCATTTTCAAGGCTGGACCCCCAACAAGTTCCCCTCAAAAAAGACGACACACTGCATCACTAAGATCAACGACCATGATAGTATTGATGGAGATCCCGGAAAATAATCGGGCTGAGCCAATGCCTACTATTCCAACTGCCACAAAAGAACATCTGTGCCGAAACTTGCTTGAATTTGCTTGAATTGCTTGGGAAGTTCTGGGTCGAATGTGGGAGGACCGCGCTCCAAATCATTCTGCCCAAATTTGCAGGCCAAAAGCTGGATTGCTCATACAGTTCACGCTGTAGGAGGGCGTGCACGTGGGCGGGGGTGGGCTTGGCGGCGTTGGCCGTGGCGAGGGCGCGGGTGATCCGCCCAGCAAATCACAGGTCCATGGCGTTTGCCACTGGGGCGGGTCGTTGAGGTGGATGCCTGGGGTGCAGCTGTGCAGGCAGACCGCGACCTTGGCATCCTTGGCATAGCACCTGGTGCGCTCATCGCAGCACTTGGTGTTGCTCATGCAGTTCACGTGGTAGGAAGGCGTGCAGCTGCCAGGCGCCGGGCTGGGGCTTGGGGCTGGAAGGCTGGGAGCTGGAGCTGGAAGGCTGGCAGGAGGACTGGGAGCGGATCCGATGAGTCGACAGGTCCATGGGGTTTGATACTGCGGCGGGTCGTTCAAGTGGATGCCCGGAGCGCAGCTGTGGAGACAGACTGCCACCGCCTCACGGAACCGGTCTGCTCACAATGTGTGTAAAACAACCAGCCGCAAGGGAACCATATCTCGGTTGCGAAATCTGCTCCCCTGCAAAATGTGTTTCACTTTTAGTGGCTTAATTGCAAACCCATTAGTCGCCAAAAAGTTAAAGTCCTAACATCCAAGCAAAATACACCAAAGATATAGTCATACTTGTGTTTCCCAGAAAATGATGAAAGCTGGGGTCGCTTCTGGGCAGGGGGGGGAGACTCGGGTCGTTTCTGGAGGGGGTAAAGTCTGAAAATGGGGTTGGTGACTTTGGGGCAAGCCCCCAACCCCCAACCCCCGCCTCATCCTTGGCATAGCACTTGGTAGTGGGATTGCAGCAGGTCGGGCTATTCATGCAGTTCCTAAGCTCGCAAGTGTTGGGGGTGAAAAATTCGAACCCAAACACTGGGGCGTCCTAAAGTGCAAGGGTGCACCATAACTGGCATCGCATTCTATCTATTTGCTGTCGCAACCAGTCTATACCCAAAACTTCGCAGCCTCCCCCATGTTTCGCCTCACTTTGGACCCATTTCCCATGTTGGACCCACTTTGAGGCAGGCATCACGGTATAAGAGGGCGTGCATGCCCCCCGCAGCGCGCGCCCTTCGGGCCCGGCAACGGCTCCGTCGCCGAGACCCTGTGCTGCAGCCGTGGCCGCCATGATCCAAAAGACGGCCATCGATCTCTCCGAGTGGCGCCCAAAAAAGGTGCCGAATTCCTTTAAACGATCTTGGGGAAACCGCGAAGCCTGCTCGTTGCTTGCTGCGAACTCCAAAGTCACATGCAAAACCATCGGTTCATGCAAAGGACGCATGGGAAAAGGACTTGAATGACCCCTCTTTGGTTGCCATGAGTCAAAATGACGAGTGGAACACAAGGATTTGGCCAGACAATGGCTGCGACACATACCAGTACATGCATCAATTCAAGCTTCAATTTGCAGTTCGCTATACGCCTTGGCCAGGCATGGCTTGCAAATGGCAGCACGCCCAAATCATTGCGACTGCTTTCTCCGAGAAGTGCAGCTGGAACATCTGAAGCCGGCATGCATCGCAATGACAGTGCTTAGTCCTAGTGGCTCCGGGGGTATTGTGCAGGAACCAAGCGAGATACGGCAAGGGGGCCAATTGGAGAAACAAACTGGACTAGCCAACATGTACAAAACGGTAACGCGCTTTATCGACACAAGATGTCAGATTTCAACGGGGCCCAAAAGGCCCATGTTCCAAAAGGGCCTGAGAAAAGAAAAAAGAAGAAGAAACAAAAACGCTTACCGGTCATAATTAACAAAAACAACTGGCACACCAAAGAGTCTCTGGACGTCTCTGGATTTCTACACAGCCGAACTCCTTCAAGCCCGCGCCTCACGGTAGTGGAGCAGCTTTGCCACGTGCCTGTGACCATCAAAGGGTCGAACCTGGCGAGCGCGGCGTTTGGGCTGTTGGAGGCTCCGAAGGGAGCCTTCCAGTTGCGGATACGCGCCGCTGGACCAAAAATACGAGAAAAACAAACAAGTCCGGTGGTGAAATCGATTCCCTTGAAACCCGAGAGGGGGAAATGATAGTCGTAAGCGAATGGGAGGAGCAAGATGCCGCCTGATCCGAGGTGCTGAACCGCGCCCAATGCGCACGTGGTTCAGGGCAGGGGGGGGGAGAGGCAACCATGGGACCCACATCCGGCGACGTTGAAAGCGCCGCCAAGACTGGGGTTGGACTTTGGAAGGTCAACCTTTCGCTGGCTGGCGTTCAGCTGCTCTTCAACTGCCCCGTGCATCCCAACTGCACAAGTTAACCAATAGATCGTATAGTGAAGGCATCGGTGACATTCAAGCGCTACCAAACTCGCATCAGATCACGCACTGAAACTAAGGCACGCGGCCTTAGTAATTATCGCCCAATCTCTTTGGGAGCGTCTTTGCGCTTCCCTTTTTACTCTGAACAAAACCTGACATGATCCGAAGGGCTGCGGAGGGTGCCCAAAAATGGGGGAGACTTGGACGGGAAGGCCGAAGGAGACCCCGCCAAATTTGCTCCCCAGCGGCTCCGACTCGCGAGCCTCAAGCTGCCGCAGTCGCACTGGCAGCGCTCGGCCTAATGGACCCAGGGACAGGCTGAAGAAGACTGGCAGGGGTTCCTTACATCTACCTGGGTCCTCGCAAGCGCGAAATCGGCGAAGCCCTGCTAAAAGTGACTCACTTTTAGTGGTTTAGTGCGGAAACCCGTTAGTTGGATCAACAAGTTATTCAGTCCTAACAGCCGAGCAAAATGCACCAAAGGGTCTGTCTTCCAAATCGTGGGAACCACTAAAATGGGTGGTGTTCCATTGAAATCCCCTCAAATTGAAACGAAAACAGCCTGAAAAGAAGGCACCTTTGAAATAAACGCATCCGCCTGAACATTGCGCGCTAAGCCTAAACTTGTAACCCCTGAACCCTTTTTTGCCTGGGTGGACAACCGAATTCGCCACGTTCGTGTGGCGCATGGCGGCATAGAGCGGCGCCGGAACGCCCCGGCCCGGGGCCCGGTCTGGCTGATCGAGCACGTCCTGCATCTGCACCTCGGCTTTTCAGCGCTTCACCGAGGAACCGAACACAAAATAACACGGCCAAGGTATGGTCCCTTTGACTTGAGCGGAAACCCTCAGAAGAAACCAACACGGAGATTGCCCGCTCAAAGGCGCGACCAGAGAATTCTAGAGGACGCTCCTCCATTCTTTCCAGGGATCCTTCTTTGCAGGAACCATTAAAAGAAGAAAAAAAGCAGGGGGAACAGATCCGTTTTTTTTTTATCGATCGATGGTTGAAAAGCAGTGGACAAGGAATCCACCCCTAGAAAAATTTGGAAAATTCCACCGCGACCTGAGGCGAACCGGGGCCCCAGGACTTGCGGCCGGGCTGCGGTGCGTGCCAGCTGCACAGGCGCCTGCCCATCCTGGTTCAAGGTGAGGGCACTGGCGCACCAGCGCAGCCTGAGCCCATGAGCCCATGGGCCGACCGAACATCCCAGGCCGAATCCAGGGAAGCTCTCAAACATCGACGCTGCTTGGATGTTGTTGTTTTTTTTAATGGAGAAACCCAAAGGGAACCAACTAATTTACCTGAAGGGTCACCAATGTTGAAAAACAACCAAATCCAATCTCTGTGGGATTGTAACACTTAACAGAATTTATTAAGTGTCACATAGATGTCAATAGTCATCCATCCCCACTGGTGCAGGACTTCATTCAATGTATATTTCACCCTGGGATTCGGGATCCTCAAACTCGATCTCCCTGAACGAGCAAAATCCGGAGACAGGGGCAGCTCCCACAGGGTTCCGCCCAGAAAACACTGGCCTCCAAAGTGCCTCCAGGAGTAGGAAGGCTTGACAAATCAAGTTCTTCTCTCACTTCCTGAGTCAATCAAACTCCAGACATTTTCTTTTACTACCAAAATGAGATTTGGCTGTGGGTCAAAACCAATGGTACCATTTTGGGGTAGGTGAATTCACCACCCATTTTGGAACCTATTTTAGTGGTTGGATTGGGATGTTCAATGGGGGTACGATTTGGATTTTGACCCATGGCCATTTCCCAAAAGTGACTAAAGTCCAGGACCTAAGGAGGTGAGTGCTGCATTCTGCGGCGTGATTTGTGCTCTCACGGCTGGGCGCCCCGGCAGCACCTGAGCTGCCGGCGCTTGGCCCGCAGCCACGGCGAGGTGCAGCGGGGTGTTCCCCGAAAAGTCCACGGCGTCCACCTGGCGAAGAGCTGCTTTTGGACCGGAAGAAAAGACCTCCGGATCCACACCAGCCGGCTGAGATAGAAACAACAAGGAGAAGGGTTGCCTAGAAGGAGCTGGGACCCTCAAACTACACTTAAACATGTGATATACCCTATAAATTGTGGAGTGACGTCGCGTTTCTGAGGGTAGATCGGGGGTCTAGTTTTCAATCCACACTCAAGGGGAAAAAATGATATACCATTTCATTCACACCTGTGGGGTACTCCATGCCCCCTTGGGTCGCTTGGGTGTAGTGGCTTGGTGGCAGTGAAGGCCCTCTTCTAAAGGTCCAACCGATTGGATGGTTCACTCCTGAGATGCATTCAGGATGTGTCTGGACGCTCTTGGGTTTCTTCCCTTTCAAGATGGAAACCAGTTCTTCCATTTGCTTAAGCCCCCTGGGACAAATACCTCCAGTGACAAACCCCCAAACCAACAAGGGAACATAAAGGGATACTCTCAGGCCATGGCCATAGGCCATGGCCGTAGCTTGAGTTACCCTTCTGGTCTCGCAAGCTGTTGGCTTGGTGAGGTCAGAAAAAAAGGCGACTTTCCTTTGGTGTCCCCAACCAAGCACAGAACAGAGGTACTAAACGTGAATTTGTCTCTTTAGGTTCCCCCTAGCCAAACCCAAAAAATTAGGGCACCTGTCAAAGACAGGCCAAGTTTAACTCTGCCTGCCTGCGTGGTGCGCGAAGCCAGCAAAGCTTCTAGGGCTTCCACCCGGCCCTGGCCGGATCAATGACGCACCCAACTCATTTGGGGCAGAAATCGGATTTGGACCTGCAAACTGCAAATCGGTTTTCTTTGTTTATTCCCTTTAAAGCAAGGGAAAACGGGTACAGCTTTAAACAACATACGCACCCACTTCCAGGCACCCGTCTTCCAATCATTGAAGTAGACGGGCTTTTCTTCCTCCAAAGCAATGTCCAACACCCTCCCCATGTAGTCAGCGTCCATACGTGGGAGGGGTATGGGTTCTGAGGGTATGAAGGCTTGTCGGTAATATATCCTCCATTCCTCCAGAACCTATAAATGAAAATGATCTTGAGATGGGGGACGGTTTGCATCTCATCTAAAGCTGCAGTGAACACGTGTCTGCGTTTGATTTTCCGAAAGGATCTGCACTGCCACAAAATGTGCAAGGAAATGTGAGCACTTCATGCGTGCCAGGCTGGATTCCCAAATCTGCAGTTCTCGGGTTCATCCAAATCAGAAACTCAGAGTTCCCTTTCAAAAGGCCCGGAGTCCAAATCCTGGCTGCCCAATGTTAACCCCGGATGAACAGACAGAAATCCTGGTTGATTCTGATCCGGGGGTGTGCCCTTTTGGTGGGGATTCAGACCACTTTTGGAGGGCCCCAATAATAGGACAAGTTTAGTAATCCCGGGTCAACATTAAACCAAACCCCCCCCCCCCCCAAGGTATTTCCAGCCGAACTGCTGGTTCCTGGCCCCTTCCCGGTGGCTCCCGCCGCAAATGCCTCAACCGCCGCCACGTGCAGCGGCAAGAGGCCCCGAAGGCTGGGCAAGTGCGAGGCGTTGGCCGCCAGCAACGCCTGCGCCGTCGTCTCGGTTTGTTTGGATAATACAATAGTATGTGTGATTTCTCTATTATTTATACTTGATTGAAATATTGTTATTTTTTTGAACTAGTAGAATTGATCCACATAGTTATCTATCTAGATTTTTCAGGTTTAACACAAGTCTTCCTTGGGCTTACTTTCAGCGATCGATCCCAAAAAGTTTAAAGTTCATGAACTCAGGAAGTGAGATGGTTTATGGGGGGTCATTCCCACATTCCCTGAGCACCAGCACGTTTTGGCCAGCGTCCCCCAAGTTGGTGATTTGGCGGCCGGTGGTGAGGGCCTGTTTCCCTTTTACAAGTCAACAAACACCAAAATTAAAATCCCAAAACACCAATTCAAACCGCCAACAAACTTTAAACCTGATTGGGGGGTGGTGTAAAGTTTAAAGGGACGCCACAAGGAAAACAGCCAGTTTTGGGGGCACAGGCCCTTGGAAAAGGACCCCCGCAGGTTCGTAACCCCTCTCCCCATTCGAAGCATGCACCTCAACCAGGAAGATGATGACTGATTGAATTTGAGGACCCAGAGTGCAAGCATAAATGGTGTGAAGCCCGGACACCACTTGCATTGCGAGTCTGCGAGTCAGTCTGCTTGCGAGTTTGGATGTGTACCATTTGCTGGTTCCTCTGTGAATGGCGACCTGCTCGTTTGGCGTAATATGGCTTGGAGTGGGAACCGGGACCGAAGATTCGGGTGAAGCCGTCCACATGACAAAGGCAGGGCCTACGAGCCGGGTAGACAGGAGAACACTTCAGGGATCCCGTTGTCATGCCGAGCCGCCTTTCTGAGAGGTCGAAACCCATGGCCCTAGGCCTTGCCTCACGCATCAACCATGCAGATCTGTCAATGCGAAAATTAACGCCCCCAAGCCTCGATCATCATGAACATGCAACCTACCAACGAAATGCCTGAAGCAACCCCCCCATAAGTCTGGCCCCGCACATTGCCCGTCATGCGCCCCACCTCCACTGCTCCCGCGTTGGTGCAGAAGTGAAGGGCGCTGCGGTTCAACATGTCCACGGCATTCACGTCCGCCCCAGCCCTGCAAATTGTCGCACGCAAATCCAAAATTCCCCCGACGACCTCCAGGATCCCAACAAAAAGGCCCAGTGGATCCACGTACTGGTTTTGTAGGCAACCAAGGGCTTGCCACCTGCAAGCCAAAACGAAAGGAAAATAGCTGGTTGACTACTATATGCATGGGCAACTGGGCAATGAAAGCTGGAACCTCCTCGGGGCTCCTGGTGGGTTTTGGTCTTGGGGCCCAGTCGCGATTTTCTCCAGTGCAGCGCCCGGTCATGACGCCGACTTTGGCATTCATCCTGTAGGAAACCCTTGGTTCGCAAAAGCATGCCCCCAAAAAAGGCCTGGTCGCTGTCTGAAATGGGGGGGCGTCCCGTGGTTTCCTTGTTGAAACCATTTCTGACCGACTTAGCTACGCCACGTGCCAATTCCCAGCTTTGCTTTGCCCAACCTTGTCGACCTTGAGGGGGGGAGGCTCCCCTGGGTTTCCCTTTTACAACAATCCCAAAATGACCCACAAAAATGGGTCCATGACCCCCATTATTTTGGGGTAATGACCCCATTTTTAAAGGGCATGAGACTCCAGGCACTCCGCCAATTTCCAGCCACCCGACCGCCCGACGAATGGAGCTAATGCCTCACCAAGAGGTCGATGATCTCCCTGCCGCCGGCCGCAGCCAAGTGCAAGGCCGTGGAGGCATTGGCGAGCCTCGGGGCACGAGCGAGCTGCCCTGTGAGTTGTTCGTCGGAAGCGCCGAAGCCCGACAGGAAATTCTCACTTCCTGAGCCAAAAATCTGAGCCTTCTCATTCACACCCAAGCTCAGGAACTCGAAGTGCAGAAACAAACACCGTTATCCACCGGCAATTCCCGTGTCTGGAAATTATGTTGCCTCCCTCCTGCAACTCATAACTTTGCGTTTGGCCAGCAGGAACTGCGCATATTGAAAAAAAGAGGCAACTGCTTGGCACGCCCTTGAATCGATTCTGGACTTGCGTTGTGTCTCGTGAAAGCGAGCAACCAATGAGGGCCTCGCGATTTCGATTTCTCGAAAGTACCAGCTTGTTTCTGCCCCCAAAATCAGTTGAACCGACCTGAAAAGGCGTTTCGCCTCCCCCAAAAAAAAGGGCCCAATGAGTGGCCCGCCTCTTTTTGCAGGGCGCCCATTCTTTGTGGCTTTTGCGCCGGGGAACCAAGAGGAAAGCCGTTGCGCCCTTTTTGGCAGGCCAGAATGGCCACCTCCTTCAAGCCTAAGGCCCCAGGCCGCTGCGTCACGGGTACATTCTGCGCCACCAGGAACCTTGCGAGGAAGTCGGACTCCTTCGTTCGCTGAGGTCCAACGGAAAAGAAAACTAAACATATGTCCAGTAGTGACACATCCCTTGAAATCTTGAAGATGTGTTTGCTCATCACATGCTTGAAGCCTGATTGGATTGTTAACTGGTTTCACACTTTTATAGACTCCGAGGAATGGAATTGGACAACTTCCATTTGCTTGAGTCGCCTGAAAAAAAGGAACATATTTCCAGTACTGACACATCCCGGCAAAACCAACTTGGGGAACAATTGAAAGATTCTTAAGGATATTGAAGTCCTTGAAAGTAGCTGTTTCAAGGGTCCAACCAAATCTAAATCAACCGTCTCGGAGTTGGAGTTGGGTCATCCACTTGGGTTTTCGGAGTTGGGCCTTGTATGAGGTTAGCGCCAAGTATTTAAGTCGACCCTGGCGGAATCTATTAATATAACGTTACCCCAAAGAGTGAAGCTAGGTCCTCCAGTACAGAGGTTAGAATAAGGGTACCGACTTTTCTTTTTCTGTAGTCTATTTGTAGGAACAAAAAGGGGTAAAGTTGGCACCTAGCTGGGGGAAGGAAGGGGTCTCTTTCGGCCAGGGCAAATTCGCGAATTGGCGAAATCCAAATCAAGTCCGAAGGCTTGGCGGAGAAGGATTCGCCAGGTTCCTGCGTGCATTTCCACTTCACTGAGGCCTGAAAGTGACAAAGCCAAGCAACAAAGGCTACGAACGCTATTCGGCGGAAAAAAGAGAGAGAGAGAGAGTGAGAGAGAGAGAGAGAGAGAACTGTTCAGACTCCTTCGAATTGGATACAACTTGGTTCCAGAAGAAAAGTGACTGAGTGATTCGAGAAGGAAGGCGGTCTTAGCCAGGTATTCAACCTCACGCAATGTAAGTAGGAATCATGTGCGGCCGCACGTTTGCACTGCCCAGTACCTACAAATGGCTTGAGCAGTTCATGCTCCAAGCAGCACAATAAGCCCACCGAAAATACCAGCGAAGACGGGAAGTGGTAGCCACACGATTCCCGCCAAATCGCCCAACCAACCACATCACTTCTCACCCCCGAGCATTGGCCCCAGCAAAACTCGCGTCCAAACCCGTCCGAATGTCTCAGCCAAACGGTGAACACTGAACTTCTGTTGAGCCCTCTGCAAAAAGTTGTTTACTTGTTACGATACCTTTTGCGAGGCCGATGCATACAGGGGTCGTTGGATTTCTCCTTCAAAAGCTGACCAACTTGCTGCTGGTTTCCATTGAAACTGCCAGTTTTCTCGGTTGTGAAAAAGGACATGGAGGAAACCCTGGCATGTCAAAAAGGGTGACACCTGGGGTGAACTGATAAATCAACACGGCTCTTCTTCGGTTGAATGCGTCCACGCCTTAGCCCTCTTCAAAACGACAACCAAAGCAACATTTTGCATTGGTAGTTTTCCTTGAGCGGGTCCTTACATTTGTTTGCTCGTTTACTTTCAGGAGGGCCCGTCATTCTGAGCTTTGCTTATTTGGATTTCCTTCAATCTGTCATTTTAACCAGCAAGCAGTCAACACCAAATAACCTTTTGGGTCCACTCCTGGCCCATTGATTGCTTTTGTTTTCCATCCACTCTTTTGGCATTGCGGATAGGGGGGCCCGCCGGGCCCGCAAAGGCAAGCAACTTCAAGCAACCTTGCTTGGTTGCCCACCCATCTCAGGTACAAAATTGAAGCTTGTCAAGCCTTGCCTTTGGCCGCCTTTCCTTTACTGGCTATGGTTCAACTAAGATCCGCGGTCCCAAGGGTTCGGCAAAAGAGTGGCAATGACCAAAAAGGCGTTGGTTCGCGCCACTTTCAAAGAGTGTAATGCAAAAAGCGCCAAGGGTGGACAGCAAACAAGACTCCTCTCCGGCCCGCCATTTTCTCCTGGGAAAGCCGCTTTAAGACCAGAGGGGCACGCCTAAACACACGGGGGGGGCCCGTGCGGGGCCCCGGCTCCAGGGAGGCGGAGCGCTGGAAGCGCACGGCGGCGGCCAGTGGGCTGAGCCCACTGACGTCCAGCAGCGTCAGCGAGGCGTTCTGCCTAACTGCGACATAAAGACATTGGGTGGGTGGATAAAGGGTGGTTCAAGGGGGGGGAGGTGGAGTTATTCAGGCACTCTGGGTGGTTTGGATATTTTGAGTTGGAGTTGAAGTGGTTCTCCATGGACACTAGTGGCTTGGTCAGGGCTGTGGTTGAAATGGATCCCACTTCTGTGATACAACAAGGGCCTAACCCCAAAGACTACCCAATATCAAGGGTGAAATTCCCGAAAGTATCACAGAAGTGGATGAAAAAACCCTTGATCCCACAACCCTGGGATTGGTGGTTGGGTGGGTAAAGGGTGGTTCAAGGGGGGGGGAGGTATTCAGGCACCCTAGGTGGTTTGGATTTTTTGAGTTGGAGTTGAAGTGGTTCTTGTAGAGGGTAAATGGGCAACCCCTCCTTAACCACGAAACCAATCCAAGCCACCAACTCGATGGAAGATCGAGTACATGTTGCAGCCCCTAGAACATACATACCCTACGTGAAGGAGGTTGCAAAATAAAGGGTGGGGGGGGTGGGGTGGGAAGGGCTTGTGAAGCTTTGTTACGATGGGGGTTGGGATACTTTTGTTGGGGGAGATGGTTTTCTTTTTGTGTTGGGCGTTCAGCCTGCTTAAAGGGGGTGAGGGGAGATGAGGTGGGGTGGGCAGTCGAGTTGTTTGTTTTGGGATGTTTTGCGAATTGGGGTGTGTTTTTTTGGGGAGGAATGCGGTTGCGAAACTTTGGGAAATGAAATGTCCTGGGAGTACCCCACTTGAAGAGGAGTGGTTTTCGTCATGGGCGGTGCTGCTCAGTTTTCCTTGGCAGTAGCCAAACGGAAGCTGAGAGACAGATGGAGTCAAGCAGTTGCTAGGGCATAGCGACACATCGAACGTGCCCTTCAGAAGGCGATGTTTCCCGCTGGCTTAAGTTTTCTAAGGGGTCTAGTGTTCAAAAATATTTCTCAAACCCCCGAAACCGGTTTCCCCATCCAACCAAATACTGTGGCCACCCAAATGAGCTTCCAACCCAAGAAACGAACCTTCAGTGTGCCCGAGGTCGCCAAATATGTTGCGAAACTGCTGTCAGCTATCTTTTGCTTGCAATAGAGGAGCCTAGAACTAGCAGCGACTTGCAAATCCCTGGATGTGCCCCCCCCCCCCACCGCCCTTCAGAGGTGATCCACCTCACCTCAACACCCATTTCCGAACTCATGTGACGGTCAACGCCATGACCATCCTTCTAGTGGTTGAACAACTTCTTCATGGGTCGCTATCTTCGGCTTTACAGTGGAAGAAACACTCAACCTCAACTCAAGCTGAACTCAACCCATTGGCGCTTTGCCTTGGACTAGATTTACACGTGCTAGGCACGAAGGCCTGCATATGGGTCTCCGCAAAGGGTTCCCTATTGTTTGCCTCTTAAACATCACCAAGCTAGGAAACTTGTTCTTAAATTGTCCCAAAAAGTGACTTTTCCAAACTACCCCTGCGAAATTTGGGCATGTGTCACAAGAGGAAACAAAACAAAAACACTGGCTCCTTTCAGCTTGAAAAAGACAATTAACCCATTTTTGCAGGGCTACCCCAAAAACCGCACGCCAGAAGCGGGTTAAAGGGCACCAAACGCCAAACCACCATTCTGGTGGGGTCGGCCATAGCTCGGTTGCTTTCTGCTGCCCTGCTGCAAGTGACTAACTTTTAGTGGTTTAATTCGGAAAACCCATGAGTTGGCAAAAAATTGAAGTCCTAACATCCAAGCAAGATGCAACAAAGAGAAGGGGGTTGAAGGGGACCAAAAGGAAAACCACTATTCTGGTGGAGTCCAGCCATAAACACACACAGCCCTAGGCACCTCTGACCACCACCGCCCTTTCAACCCGGACCGAATCCGGAGCCCGGCAGGTCTCTTCCACCAAGGGGCGAAGCCAAAAACCTGAGAGATGGGCTCGGTGCCCCGCAAAAGGGAAGCCAAAACTGGGCCGTCCGCAGATGTTCCCCTAAAACCGTGACTATGTGTTGATGGGTTAAATGGAAATCCAACCATTAAACACCAAAAAGCTAAAAAGTTCAGGGATGGCTGGGAGCCATCAAAGGAAATCCCGTGCTTTGCGGAACTCTGTTCATGTTGATATTCATCAACCCTAGTTGATTAATAGGAGGGGTGTCCCTGGGTTTGATGGGGAATCATCACTTTGGGAGGGGAAGACCCCGTGTTAATAATAAATATGGCTTTTTGGAAGAAACATGATTCATCAAATAATTGTCCTTTCAATGGCAATGTAGCCCACTGGATCCATTTACCTGTTTGGTAACCAAGGGCTTGCCACCCAACATTATAAAAAAAGCGAAGAGTTACCTACTATATGGGCTTGCCTGCGATCTACTGGGGAAGCCAACAGGAAGCAGACGATTCTGGGATTCCGATTCCTACTTTGAGATCAACCCATGTGTATGTTTACCCGAAGTCTCCTGCTGACCCTTCAAACATGGGTCATTACGCGAAAGAAAAGGGTCATGGGTCATGGAGACTCCTTTACTATACCTAGCACTCCGTTTGCTTGGACAAAAATAACAAAATAGGTTCCCTTTAAAATCAAACGCGGTAAAAAATGAAAAAACAAAAAGCACACAACTCACCTGCTCCAGAAAATGGTGCCGCAAGGTTCAACTCGAAAAAAAACGCGAACCCCCAAGGCGAAACAGCCTTTTGAGCTCCCCACAAACGGTGCTTGGAGCAGAGGAAACCCTTCGGTTGAGGTGTTTTGTTTTTTACTAGCCCCGGCTTTTTACTAGCCCCGGCTCGGCACAAGCTGGGGGTTGGTGGCCGCATCGCCAGCATTTCCGGTTTCTTGTCACGGCTGCGTGTGGGGCATGACTTGGTGCTCGGGATATCCGGGCCGCATCGCCAGCATTACTGGCCTCACTCGGACGAGAGCTGCCTATTGGCTTTGGTTTGGTGGCAGTTCATGGTTGATCGGGGCTGGTTTGGGGCGAGTGTTGGGCTTGCTGAGATATTAATGCGGGCGGGTCTTGGGTTTGTTTAGGGTTCATTTAGCCTCGGCAAAGGGCCGATATGCAGGATGCGGTTGGGAGGGTTTCAGGTTGACTTTGGGTCGATTTTGGCTTGGTTGGGGCTGTTTCGTTCTAGATGTGCGGCTGGTGCTTCAGGGATGTGGTTCTGCAAGTTTTGGGCTAGGATTGGTGGTTTGGGGCAACGCCCCACAACCAATCCCAAACCAGCCCAAAACTTGCAGAACCACATCCCTGAAGCAACCCGAAAGCCACGCCTAAACCAGCCGCACATCTAGCGCGAATCAGCCCCAACCAAGCCAAAACCGACCCAAAGTCAACCTCAAACCCTCCCAACCGCATCCTGCATATCGGCCCTTTGCCGAGGCTAAATGAACCCTAAACAAACCCAAGACCCGCCCGCATTAATATCTCAGCAAGCCCAACACTCACCCCAAACCAGCCCCGATCAACCCTGAACTGGCACCAAACCAAAGCCAATAGGCAGCTCTCGTCCGAGTGAGGCCAGTAATGCTGGCGATGCGGCCGGATATCCCGAGCATCAAGTCATGCCCCACACGCAGCCGTGACAAGAAACCGGAAATGCTGGGCATGCTGGGGATGCGGCCGCCCAGCTGACCAACCAACCAACCAACCAACCAACCAACCAACCAACAACCAACCAACCAACCAACCAACCAGTCTCCGAGCCGGGGTTAAGCCCCGAGCCGGGGCTAGTAAAAAAAAAAAACCGGTTCCTAAACCCTTCCCTTCCCCAAAATGGCCAAACACTCAAAACGGATCTCCTCAAAGCTTACTCCTAGCAGGGAACTTGAGTTTGAACAGACGCCGCAGAGGAGCCCCACCTCTACTCCCCCCACCCCCCAAGCAGAAAAACATGTTTGAAGGGAACCCCACTCATCCTCACCCAGAAACGGAGGAAGAATGACAACACCCACAACACATTGCCCGACCAGAGACCCACAGGGATGTGGACTCCAGGGGTTTGGCTTCCACGGAAACTGTAACCCAAATCCAGCGAGCTGGATTTGTTCCTACGGTGGATGGACGAAATTCTGCACCACCTAAGACACCCTGGAATGATGATTCCCTTGTAACTACCAAGCAAACAATGGTTCCCCGTGGTTTCAAAATGGTGCAGGATTTCGTCCATCCACAGTATGGATGCCTCCTCACGGAGTTTGATCTCTTAACGCCGAATCAAAGAGTCCCGGTGGAGCCACAGGGGTCAAACTCATGGGCCCTTGTGGTACCCTGGTGCCACCTTGTGCCACCGTTGAGTGTTCACGCAAGGATACATTTTTCGGCCAAAGTCAAACCACCCTTACCAGGTAAGGTTTCTGCAACTTTCAAGGTATCCTAGAGGCCCTGCGAAATTTCGACCTGCGCCATGTACCTTTGTGGTTTGTTTTTCCTAAAGGGCCCTTCAAAACAGGATGGGACCCCCCCCAGGTCTCTACATGCACGTACCCCCTTTTGTGTCTGTACAGTAGCCCCTTAGCGCCTTCTTCAAAGGCAAAAAATTGGACACCTCCAACTCCTGAGCTCACCAGCTAACTAGAGTACGGGCCCCTGCTTCAAGCAAAAACAAAACAAAACAAAAAAAGCAGAACTCCCCAAAGCCACTGCTACATGCAAGGTGCCTTTTTGGTGTATATTCAAAAAAGGAGGTCCTCTGCGCAAAACGGAGACCCAAGCCTTTGACCCAAGACTCGATTCGTCGCTCGAAACGGCCGACACAGCCGCGAAAAGCCCCGCTCAGAGCTCAGTGGCTGTGCCACGTCCACGCGGTCCTTCTCCAAGGCCTCGAAGATGGCCGTGCGCGCCCGCTCCTCGGGCGGAGCTTTTTGTTGGGAGAAAAAATCGTCTGCGGGTTCGGGTCCCGGCTGTGAGTCACATGGGTGGCGCAAGCCGAAATCGAAATGGGTGGCGTGGGCTGTTTCTTGGGCGAGTCTTTTTTGGGGGGTTAGAGGCTCCAATTCGATTGATTTGGGGCCTTCAAGCAGCCTGGGTTTGCTGGACCCCCTTTTTACCAATTCCCGGGGGGTCTAATGGAGGGGTCGGGTCTTCCGGTGAAAGGTCCAGGAGCCTCTGCAAAAAATAAAAACGTCTGCGGGTCGCGGGTCCCGTCTGTGTGTCCCAACATGGGCGGCGCAAGCCCCAAAACGGGTGACTGGGGCTTCGGGTCCCTTTTTTGGCTTCCCTTGAGATCATCCGAAAAGGGGACCCCGAGAAAAAAGAAAGGGGGCCATTCGGGTGGTCTTTGGCTGAGCCTTTTTCACCTTCAGTGTTGAAAGAAGCCAGGAGCCGCGCTGTTTGTTGAAGGAAAGTCCCTCTTGCTTGATAGCTTCCACATCGTTCTTTGCCTGGGCATCCTCCATGTGGTTTGGCTTCATAAATCCGTGGACGAATTAACCTAATCAGCCTTCATGGCCACTAGGGAAATCACAGTAGTTCCCCCGAGTCTGGGGGCACACTGCTCAAAACTCCAGCCTTTTGCAGGTCTGGCTTCTTCCTCATGGGATGACCTGTGTCTTCCTTCTCCTTCAAACACAAGAGAAGGTCCATTCAATGCAATCACCTGGACGTGTCAAACATTCTGAAAACCCCACCAACATGTTTGGGGCAAACACGCACAAGAAGTGGATGGTAGATTCTTAGGCCAAAGAACCCTAACATGGGTGGTGATTGCATGTGACTGGCAACCCTGCCAACAAGCAAGTGGCAAGGAGGTGTCCGAAAAAGGTCTCCTGCCGTTGTAGGGGGATAGTGGCCTGGGATAAGCCGAGACTGAATTGTTTAAAAAATGGATCAAAATGGGTCAGTCTTCTTTGAAGGTACTAATTTCGGAGTGGTTTTGCAAACTATCCATAATTCTTGGTGTCCCTTATTTAAGACGTGCCGAAATGGGGGACCCCCAACAAGCAGTTTCTAGAGGGACACCCGCAGCCGCCCAGCCCGGGGTGTGCAGTCGAGGCTCGTCCACCTCGTGTGGGGAGTAGCCGTCCAGGACCAGCTGCTGAACCAGCGAAACCTCAAACTTCCAAAAGCGAAGACGCCTTTTGGGATGGCTTTAACAAGCAACCCAAAAAAGAACCAACCACCCGAAGGGTCCTCTATTTTAAATACATACTCTCATAAAACCAGGTAGATTCAGAAACTCACATAAGTCATAATCAAAACCCGATATTTTCAATGGCCAGAGCCATGGAAAGAATCAAGAAGGCGGCCGAAGCTATTCATGGTTGGGATTGGCCCTTACTAACCTTCAGCTACCCGGGTTTCGATTGTGGATCTAGTGACCCCCCTTTGGGCAACTGCCCCATTCAAGTTTCCTGGCCCTGGTAAGCAACCGTCTGTTCTTCCGCATGGGTGTGTCTTTGTTTGAGGGTACCACAATCGTTGGTTGTTTTCAAGGGGAACCAACAGGACAACCATCATTCAGGGGGACCCCTAAAAAGAGACATACCCACATCGTTCTTCAACACCTTTCTGGGAAACCCGATTCTTTCCAGAGAGCCTTGCTTCCAGAAAGCCAAAGTTGTGGGGGGAACTCCGAAAAACAAGCGTTGTGCAATACTTGAAGATCACGGGTTCGGAATCCACCACTAGAAGCCTGCTCGGGCCGAATCCGTATTTAAATGAGACCGGAACCCACCAAACAAAACAAAATTGACCGACTGAGCACTACCCTCGACAAAAGCGGTTAATCCCCAGTTCCAACCAATCCAAAGCATCCAAGGGGTACTTGAACGTCAATAAAAGGGGGTGGTCCCGAAAAAACCATGAAACAAAAAAACAGGAACAAAAGGAATCCGTTGCCATGTTGAGGTTTAGGGCGGTTTCCCATTACTCCCAAGGGCATAGGTGTTCTTTTGGTAAATAGATGTCCCTGGTATATGCCCAGTGGCCATGGGAAAAAGGGCGTCCTTTTTTGGTTGGTTGAGTTGAAAGAAATCGGAACCCTTCCAAAATAACAAAAAGTCGGAGAAAAAAAAGAGCGGAATCCACTGGACAACTGGGCCTATGCCCAAAGGGCTAACTTGAAAAAAACCCAAGGGTTGTCTGAAAACCAATAAAAAGGGCTGGTCCCTGGCAAGAAACCGTGGAACAAGAACACACCAGCCCGAAAAAAAAAACAAAAACAGACCAAACCCTACATCCCTACATCCAAAAACCCAACATCAAAAATCCAGACCAAACCCAACATCCAAAAGCCCGACCCAAAATCCAGACCTAACCAAAAGCCAGGCCACCAACCCATGGTCTCTGGGCTTCCCGGCGTTCCCAGAGCCTGCGGCGGCCTCTAACGGGAAGTCTCCCGCGAAGACGGGCACCTCGATGCGTCCGAGGCGGTCCAGGGCAGGCCCCTGGAGGTATTGGGCCAGGAGCTGTTGGGGGGCAAACCACAGAGAGGTGTCGTTTTTTTTGGGGTTGTTGGCCAAAAAAATGGTGGCTTTCCTTTTGGTGTCCCGAAATAAACACACACAAAAGAAGTGGGCGCAGCCACAGAAAAAACACCCAAATCGAGGTTACCCCTTTCTTTTGCTTTTTGAAGGGGAGGGGGACTCCAGACAAACTGGAGAAGGAGAAGTACTTCGACCCCCTGCAAAATGTGAACTCGCTGGTGGAAAGGGAGCATGGAAAACCCAAAAGGCGAACCGCGAAAAGGGCAGTTCACCAAGTCTGGCAAGGCTTTCTGGGGCAGGTGCAAACTAGTCAACGACTTCTCCATGCTCTCAAGTGCCATGGCCAAAACCTTAGCAAAAAGATTGCGTCTGGCGGCAAGAACCCGCTGGCTTCTTCTTTATGGCTGTTGAGTTGTTTATAGAAAATTGGGAGGAAAGGATGCTTGCTGGATGCCTCATAACATACCATACAAGATAAGATGAGGATCTACTCTTTATGTTGGATTCCAACTCGGCCCTGGACTACTTGGTCTCTTTAAATTTCGAAGATGTGGCACCCGACCACGGCAAACCGCTGGGTCGGGCGGCTAAATCGAAGTGGCCGCCAGCAAACGCCAGCTCCAGAGGCAGCAGAAGTTCATAGTCCCGCGCCCGAAGGTCGGCTCCTGCAGTCAGGGCCCCGGTTTTTCTTCCGCTGAGCTTTCCTCGCATGCGGTTGTTGCCTTCGGGAAAATGGGAGGGCTGGTGTTCACCATTGGTGCATCATGTAAGGAGCGATGCCTTTCAGGTCGCCCGCAAAAACTGAACCCACAAGGCAGGCCAAACACAGGGCCTGCTCCCGGCCAAACCTCGTCAGTTTGCGAGTGATGCGAATGGAAGAGGAATCGATGGCTTTGACTTTCCATGTGCCAAAGCACAATCATGGATTGCTTACAGGACCGGACCACTGTTGAGGAAAATGCAATCCAGGCTAGGTTTAAACCAATCCTAAACCACCCACCCCCAAGCCAACCCAAAGCCAACACTAAACCGCATCACACAAAAAAAGAAAAAGAAAACTGAACCATCCTAAAGCCACCTGAAACTCCCCCTACACAATGCTACCTAAATTCCACCCTAAAGCCATCCCCCACCAAACGCGGCTCTTGCATCGGATTCTTCATTCCGGGCCTCGAGGTGCGCATGGAACGCAATGCGGAACCGAGGAAAATTGCGAACTCGGCTGCTTTCCACAGTCGTGGAATTCACGGTGTTGCCTGGTTGGCAGCGGTTGGATGTGACCTGTGGCAAACCATCAATGAATCAGGGGGTTACCTGAGCTATGGCTACAAAACCGGCATTTGGGTGCGTGTTTCTTTAGCTACCTTCTCCAAAATGGTGGCTTCCTTGTGGTGTCCCTTTAAAAACCCACCACAAAACAGGCTCCCCTTCCAAAAAAAGGACGATGGTTCGGTGCAGGGTCCCCTTTTCGCCCTTGCCGCCCGCTTCCCCTGGTCTCCTTGCTCCCTGAGCCACCGCAAATTCCCGCCGGCCCCGGCCGCGGCGGCGTAGTGCGCGCAAAAGCGGCCACGGGAATCGCGGGCGCTGGCCACATCCTGAGGGCTTCTCAGATCTCGGTTGCTTTCTGCTCCCCTGCTAAAAGAGACTAGCTTTTAGTGTTTTAATTCGGAAAACCCACTAGTTGGCAACAAGTTACAGTCCTAACATCCATTCAAGATGCAACAAAGAGATGTTTCGTGGATTTTCATGGGAAAAGGATCGGCATCCGATTTCTTTACGTTGAGTTTAAAGGGGAACCCTTCTCCAACAAAAACGGAAAAAAAGGTTTAGCAACCCGCTGGGCAACTGGGTTTATTCTTTTTTCCCCCAACAGGCGATGGAGTAGCGCGATGCTACTCGGACAGTATAAGACCTGGTGCCATCCAAGTTGGAGCGGTGCAAATTTTCTAGGTACCACCGGCTCTTCCCCCAGCTGAAAGCTCTGGGGCCTTTGGGGTCTCTGCCCAAATAAGCTCTGGGATTTGGGGCGGCTCCGGGTCAGGGTTGAAGGGTTTCGGGGGTTGCTGTTGGGGATATGGCCGGTGTTGCAAGCGGTTGCAGCCGTGGATGGATCCATTTGCCGGGGGGGGTTGCGGTTGAGAATCGCCGGTTGCTTCTCGCTGGATGGGCGAAATCCATTTGAAGCACCAGTTGCAGGCGCGTAGAAGGGAGTTCGTCCATGGGTAGGTCACAAGAAATCCACCCACAGAAGGGGGCAAAAATATATTTGCAATTTTATCATTATCGTTTTTAGTCTACCCTGAAGTATTGCTTCAGAACGTACATAGCGCTCATCGGAGACAGGAAATCGGGGAAACCCATGGTTTGGTTCCTGCGACGTCCTTTTACAACCAGGGGGAAGCCTATGTTCAGAAACACCCAGAGGCACGAAAAGACGTCTGGAACTATAACTGATACTTGTTGCAAGGAAACAATACCACAACAAGTAGGACAAAATCCGGGGCTGACCATAGATGTTCATGACCATTTACTCGGGTATGTGCATATGCAGGGGTACCCATGTATACATGTACATATGTCTACATATGTTTACATGTTTTTCATACTTCTGACTTTCTGAGTCATTACCCACAAAACCCGAATAAGGCCAGGCTATGCATGGATCCATGTGGCACCACTTGGTAGGTGGTTTACCCCAGTGCTCAAGGGGGTTCATCCATGCCAACTGGTACAGCATGTTGTCCATCCACATAGAAAGAGTCCATGTTCCTATGATAATAGCAATTGAACACGGTTCATGTGCGTGTATTATCCGGTGGTGAATCAAATCGGGGCAAAGGAAGCAACAAACGAATTGAAGCCTGGTGGAGGGGGGGGGGGGGTAATGGCTCATAACCACATGCCTATGTGTGTACAGCGTTTCTTGTGTGCATGCATGCAGGTATGAATGCATGCATGCATGCACGCATGAAAGCCAATGACACTTTGAATGCACGCACACATGCCCCGAAGATCCTTGACGTCTGAGTCACCTGGTACAGGAAAAAACGAAAGGGCTTTGTCTCCAACCAGGGCAACCCTAAAGTTGTGGTGATTCTTTGGGTTTTCGTGTTAAATCAACACTGAAAATGGAGATCTCTAGAGGAACGGTGCACAAAATACAGTCTGAATAGCGGTTCAAAGGGTCCGCGACCCACCAACAAACAATTCAGATCTGCAGGGGGAACGATTGTGATGGTCATTGGGGTTCCTTAGGCTGTGTGTTTCATTAGAGATGTTCAACATTTGCAAACACATGTAAGAAATGGATCGCAAGTAAGAATTTGTGGATCCACTACCTGTATAGTAGGTAACCAAGGGAACGCCATGAAAAAACGGCAGATGGGTGTGTCCTTCTTAAAGTTTAAAGTTGTTCGGAAGACCAAAGGGAAACCCACCATCTACGGGCTCTCCGAGTGTTTCCTTCGCAAGTCCATGGTACCCGGGGTGAACCCCCGCGTCGCGCCTCGGAATACCGGGCCAACAGCTCCAGGGTTTGGGAGGCATCGGACAACCCTGCCACCTGCGTAGATCGGCCCAAAGAAGCTCAAAACTTCAGCTCCAAGCCGTGCTGCTGAATCCCCCTTTGGCAAAACTCTGGGGTATGCGGCGCCCTCAACTTAAGGAACCCCTCTAGGGTTTGATCCCCAGTGCTACCGCATAGGGAACAATTTGGATGGGCTTGAGGGTACCGCCATGGGCCTTTCAAACATCTACTCAAACAACGCGCCTTTCCCGGCACGTGCCCCAATATGGTGCCCCACTATGCTACACCATATATATGCTTTTGTTTTTTTGCTTCAGTGCCCTATAAGTTCATGCTTCGAGTTAGCGGGGAACTTGGACACTCCACAGGCACCTAGTCAGTCTCCTTGATACCAGAAGGTTAGGCACTAGGGGCCAGAACCTACGTCTGTTTTCCTGTGAGAGCGGACAAAACACGGGGAAATGCCCTGGCAACCTGGGACGCACCAAGGACTGAAATCTTTGGGCCGGGGTTGTCTTGGGTTCCATCGGTTGGCAGGGTGTAGCCCTTGGAAAATCCTAATGGTTGCCCTTTCGCGGATCTGAGTCGGGAAACCCCAGTGTGCCGTTCAGTTGGGATCGGTGATCACACTGGGGCGCTCAATAGGACAAATGTCTTTCCAAGGCTTGGTTGACGTTGGGGTTGGGGAGCAACAAATTAAATTTTAGCAGTTATAAGTGGATTTGGATTTCAACCACTAAACCACAATAAGCAAAAATGGGAAAACTGCTTCCCAACAACAACCATGAAGGGACCGCATCCGTGCACCAAGGCCATGGGAGAACATCCAAACACGGCCGCGCACCGCCCGCTTTCTGAATTCAAGAATGCAAAAATGCAGGGCGCTTTCTAGGAGGACCGAGCCTCTGGCGGGATCGGGCAGAAAGTCGCTGTGAGTGATTCTCTTGAGGCGTGGTACTCAAAACACGCAACTTTTGTTTGGAGTCCAATCCCGATTTCGACGAACGCCATTATTTGTTGGGGGGTCATCTTTCTTTCTGTAGCTTCCGGGTTGTCGCGTGCCTGAATTTGACACAGAAAGTTGACTCCGAATGAATCAACCCAACAGTGATGATTCCCCACTCAACCCAGGTACATCCCCCTATTAATAAAGAGGGGTTGATCAGAATGGGGTCAACATTGCTCCTTTGCCCATGCTTCCAACCACCCGCGTTTCCCTTTCCGCCCGACTCCCGACTCAATCCCCCCCGCCGTGTGCAAGGGCAGCGCCCCGAGCGCAGTGCGCGCTGAGAAGTTGGCGCCCAACAGTAGCAGCTCCTAGCGAAGTACAAAAACAAGGAGCTCAGTACCTAGCCATACTCTCTTCATGAGTGGATTGGCCAGAAAAAGTCAAAACTGTTGATTTACCGCTACAGTGGTCTTCCAAGAAAGTGACTGAAGTCCATCAACCCAGGAAGTGAGCATATGGGTCTGTCTTTCTTGATGGTACTGCTTGTTTGGTGGTTTTAAAGGGAAACCAAAAGGAAACCGCTGCCATTTTGCGGGTCCAATCCCTGCAAAAGCGCAGGTAATATCCTCGACTGCCCCGAAATTCCTTATCGACCCCATGGCTTCCAGTCACAAAAGGGAAAGAGGATCTCCAGCAAAATCTACCCTCCCTCAACTCCATTTTTGAGTGGTAGAATCATCAATCCCTCTTGGCAGTCGGCAAAAAAAACTTGCTTGATTCTCAGGTGGTTTGGAGCGCGGTGGTTTGGTGATGTTCCGAAATGGGGTTCCACATGAACCCACTACAAGAACCAGGGGTTCAAATCCCCAGCTCCAACCAAACCAAGCACCCAACTAAGGATTTTCTTACCTGATCAAGAAATGTGCCCACCCCGAAGGTCCAAACCACCATCTAAAGGCGAGCTTTTCTGGCCGTTCCGATTTGACAAAAACAAGTGGTAACGTTGTCTTTTTGTTCCCTAGGGCTGGTGTTTCAGGGCGGGGCTGGCAACATCCCCAGCATCACCAGCATCACTGGCCTGGGGTTGCCTGTTGGCTCTGATTGGGTGGCAGTTGGTCCACCGCTCCTTTGCTCTTACCCTTGCTCAGTAGAGAGTGGGGGACTGAACCGAAAGGGGATTCCCTCAAAGGCAACCACCAGTTGGATGGTTTAGTTCGGGGTCATGCCATTTCTCATTCCCTGCCTATCGCACCAGCAATACCTTGCTGGGCTGTCCTCAGATCCCCTGCTCAAAGTGACTAACCTTTAGTGGGTTAAATCTGCAGACTCAACCGCTAAACACTAAACAAATCCAAAAAGCTACTTTGAACCAGATGGCTGGGATTCAGCAAGTAACAAACAAAAACACACACACACACAAACAAACATGGTTTCTATGTTGTTTCTAGATTTTCCTTTTTGTTTAAAAAAAAAAACAAAAAAAAAACAAAAAACACATACATACATATACATGCACATATATGTATACATATCTGTGTGTGTCAGTGTGCGTAACATCGGGCCTCCAGGAGCTGCCGCCCGGAGTTGAGGTGCACCAACTGCTCCCCCCGCTGGTTCTCCGTGAGCACCAGCTGCTGCAGCAGCGCGGGGGCCAAGCCTGGCACTCCGCAACTGGCAGGGCTGTGGGAAATGGATCCCACCGTGATATGACAAAATGGGCGTCCCAAAGACGAACCCACCAGATAAAAGGGAAGATGTTTGTTGGTATCACCTCGGTTGCGAACTCTGCTCCCCTGGTAAAAGTTTTTAACTTTCAGTGGTTTAGCGTGGAAAAACCCATTAGTTGTTAGTTGGCGAAAAGTTAGAGTCCTAGCAGCCAAGCAAAATGCACCAAAGTCACAGAAGTGGGGATAAACCCCCAGTGATCCCACAAACCTGATATGGGGGGATTCCCTTGGCGCCATTTCCCAGATCAAACTTAGGGGCATCAAACGGGGGAATCCTCCCGTATCAAACTGGTTCTCCCTGTATCCCTGCTAGTTTGTTATGGATTCGATGGAATGAACCTTACAGGTCAGAGCTCCTTGAATGCCCAATCCCAGAATTTGTTTTGGGCTCCCCACAAGGGTCGGTCTTGAGCAAAGCTCCTTGCAAAGCCTCATGTTCCAAACGAGCGGAAGTTGAGCATCACCCCCGCAGAATCACCTCCGCGGAACCTGTGCGTTTGCTCGTTTGCCTTGCTCGTTTGCCCGGCTCGTTTGCCCGGGTCGATGGTCCTTCCCTCGTCGATCCGACCGGGGGGGTTCCATGCTTGGCCCGGACGCTGCCAGGTAAGGCGCTCTGACAAGGGTGATAGGGGTGCGCCAAGTGAAGGAATCTGGCTGAAATGGGACATCCCAATCTACATCAAAAGGGGGTTTCTCCTCAACCTCTCAACCTGGCCTTTTTTGCGAGTTCCACCCATCTGTCCACTGACACTCCTCCCTTGCGATTCTCGCGCTATGTGGATGGGCCTAGGGAGAGTTGTCCAACGGCCTGTCTGGTTCCATTGCGAGGGTCGGGCAGAAAGAAGTGAGTTTGAAAAACCCGGCTGTTCACGAATGCGCAGCAAACCTGCAATTAAATGGCACCAGGTGATCACCTTGAAAGCGAAAAAGGTCAGGGAAACCAACCTGTCCAGGTCTTTGGGCAAGTGAGTTACAGAACGGCGCATCTAAGCAAACCATAGTGAGGCCCTGTGCAGCAAACCCACATCAATGAGTCTACTTTATGCAAACATGTTGACACACCTGTTATGTGTGAAACTCCTTGGCTTCCTTGATGAATGAATCGAAGCAAGAACCGAGCCAGCACGCTGTGTACCAGTTTTGCGTCTTTATACCGGAGAGCGGCTTCCCCCATTTTGGGGCTTCCCTCATTTGTTCATAGGTTGTGATTCGGGCACGAGCCTGTGCCCAGGCAATGGGTAAGTTGGGGTAAACAAGCCACAAAAGAAAGGTTCCCCAAAAGCAAACCAATCCCCGGTCCCAAAGATCAGGGTTTCCCACACACCAGAGAACAACAACCAAAGGAAATCAAACCAAACAAGAAAAGGGTTAACCCGCAACCTTGGTCGACAACAGGCCGCACGACTGGTCCCTACCAACCTGGCGGCGGCCCGAGGTCTCTTTCTCCCCCGAGATGCCGTCGGTCGACGCAGGGGTTCGGCGACGCCCATTCGAGGCGCGACGGAACCCAAAACTTGAGCCAAAACACCACAGGTCGGTCACTAACGCGACGTCCCTGATGATGATATAACCATGGCTAATCACACCCCCCTCACGAGGAGCCCGTCATATGACGGGTGGAGCGTGCCATTTACTGATAGGATTTAACTGCTCGCATGCGTCCGCAAACAGCTGGACACTACCGCCGTCAGCGGTGGAGCAAACCCACAAAGGCAGTTGCGCGACATCCCGGGCATTAAATTCCCGCCACCACCCCGAATTAATCGGGGTAACGCTGTCCAACATACCTTGTGGAAAAGTCCACATGACGACACTAGGTCACAACTGTTTGCATCAACAATGCAAGAAGTTTAATTCTTATCAGAAGCCATGAAATAAAAGATAACGTATGTCCATTAGTACCCTCGCCTAACGGCAAGAGGTACCCCTGACCATGCGTACCTGAAAAATGCTTGAATTCCGCAAACCCGGGAGTAACCCCCCATCAGTTTGCTTTCCCTCTCACTCACACTGCTTCCTGATGAACACGTCCAGCAGCCCAGCAGCGGTATGGGAGAGACATGACCTCCGCGCCTCAGCGGTCCGGGAGGAACATCACCACCTCCGCACCGCGCCGACCATTGGAGAATGGACGCAAGCCTATCGGCCGCAATCCTCGTGACTCAGCCTACCGGCTATCGTCACGTCTCCTCCGGTCACGTCCGCCCCGCGCACGGTCCCTATCACGATCCCTTTCGGATCTCCTGCGATCATCTCGCCTTCGATCTCGCTCCCGATCGAGTGAATCATCATCACGACGATCACGAGCATCGTCCCTCCTCCTGTCGCGATCATCCTCGCGCCGCGGACGGTATCTGCGCCTCCTCGACTCTCTGGAATCCCTGGTGTCCACGGTCCTAACGGACCTCCGAGAAGGAGTACGGGAAACATCCGATTCCCTACGCCTCCTCCCAGATCGAGAGTTCGTCACGATCTGGTTGAGAGCCTCCAGTGCCGACGCGTCCTCACCATTCCTGATGAAATCCCTGACCTGCTTGTTCAGCACTCTGTTGGTGGAGATCGACAAGAAAGCGTCCACCACCGAACTCTCAGGCAGCACCAGGAAGTGACCCTCCACCGGGCTCGCCGCAGCCCGCTCAGCAGACTGCAGCCGGATCTCCCCGCCTTCAGGCTTCTTTGCCATCGCCTTGGAGGCCGTCAAAGGCGCTACCGCATCCTTTGCCGAAGATCTGCCAAGCGCGGAGTGAAGATCATCCCCGCTAGCTTCTCTCGCTGCCGCACCTGGTCTGCTGTCGACGTCGCCAGGCCTCGTGGACGCCTCCCGCTTTGTCGACTCCTTCGCAGCCTCGTCGGGATCCCAACGGGATTTCCTTTCTCTCTTCTGCCCTTCGGCCGACCCGCGGCTACCGCCGGGAGCGTCACCTCCGCCTGTCTTCTCCTTCTTGACCTCAACCTTCGGTTCGGCCTGCTTCGTCTCCTTAGCCACAGCTTTTGGAGCCGGAGCACTCTTCGCCTCAGATGCTGAAGCAGCCTTCCCTTTCGGCTCGGCCTTAGGAACCGGGGTCATTTTAGCCTTGGCACTCGGCCTGGCCCCTTCAACCACCATCTCGGCCCAAGACTTCTTCGGCTGAGCTGCTGCTGTATCAACCTCCATCGGAGCAGGTCCAGCATCATCCTTCGCCTTTGGGACAGATGGGCTACCGCCCTTACCGGATCCTTTACCTGGCACTTCACCTGATTTTGGTGGTGGGCCGGAAGGACTACCGCCCTTACCGCCCTTTTCCCCCTTCTTCCCTTTTCCTTTTCCGCCCTTGGGGACCGGCTCCTGCTTGGGACCAGGACCCGGCGCAGCATGATGCACCGATTGGAGTCCCTCGATGTCCACGTTCAATGGTTCGGGTTGACGACCGTCAAGAACCGTCCTCACCCTTTCGTCACTAACGTAGACGAACGGGTCACGGAAGGGTGCGGGAGGCTCCGACTGTCCGGCGCTGATCGCCTTCTGCACCTTTGCTATCGCCTCCTTCAACCTCTTCTTCTCATCGTACCCTGTCTCCGATACCATGTACTGCCTGAGCTGCGAAATCAACGCAGGACTCTCCAGGATGTCCACGTCCTTTCGATGGGTTGGGTACAATGGGGTCAGATGACCAGCCGCGGAGCCAATCACGTATGCCATCGGAATATAGAATGACAAGTACGTGTCATGACGAGCGAACTTCCTAACGGAAGTCGTCATACGCCTACCCCACTGAGCAGCGTGTCTTGGGTTGGCCCGGAAGTACTCCGTGACCGACTCAAATCTATCGACTTGGTTGGTCTTGATCAGGTGCTTCGCCACCCACTTCTCCACGAACGCATCCGAGGCCGAAATCCCGGACACATAGGAGAATTGGAAGAGCACCTTCGCCAGCTCATCCCACGCCGCATCGACACCTCCCTTGTCTTCACCAAGATAAGGGGGAAGTCTGATGCCGCTCTGCACCGTCATCCTCAGATCGGATGCCATCGAATAGGAAATCAAATTCCTCTTGATGACTCCGACCACTTCGGAGGGAATCCTCCTGGGCTTGAACTGCCCCATGGTCCTCACCCACTCCGGCACGATGTGGCACCTTTCGAAGTCCTTTTCCTCCGCGTTGGGGATAAAGTTCGGGTAAAAGACCGGGAGCGCGCACCCGGGACACAAGTGCATCCCATTTGGCATCAATTCTGCGCACCTCAAGCAGAACGTGGCAGTCACATTCAGCCTGATCTCTTCCCGTGATCGCCTGTGCTCTCCCCTAACGGGGGTGAAGTCACCGTAGTCCCATGCCCGATGGTACACTATCGTGTAATCATCGTACATATATGCCGCCTTCCAAGCCCCCATGTGGATCTCGTTCCTAACGGCAAGAGTCTTCCTTCTCGTCAAAAACACGGGTCCAACCAAGGACCAGTGCACCCGAAGATCCACCATTACCACCACGTACCTACCGGAGTAGTTCCGCAGCCTGTCCCTGACATACCACGAAGGCGATACCTCGGCATCCGGCGCCATGGCTCCCACAAGTGGGATCAGGCCCTCATCCTGCCTACCATCCCCAATGGTCTCGTACACATCGGGCCTCGTGATCAATATCTCGATCATGGCCTTTCCATTTCGCCTCACCCTTTGGAGCTGAACCGCCTTCCGAAAGTCCGAGAACTTCATGATGACGTATCCCACCATGGGGAGTTCATTCCAATGCATCTCATACATCAGAGATCCGCCAGGTGCATCTTCCTGAGTATACCTGTGCCTAACGGCACTGTAACTCAAGTCGCGTCCGATCCGCGTGTGCCTAACGGCAACCAACCTGGTGCTCTCTTTGAGGAGAACGCCATCCCCGTCGTACATGACCATGAGCATCGCCTCCACTTGCCCTATCGGGAAAGCTTTAAGCGTCGGAATGAAGAACTTCCAAGACATCTCAGCGTTCTCCATGCCCGAAATCTCCTTCAGGAACCAGATGGCCTGGTCACTTTTCACCCAGTTTCCAGCCTCGCGTCCGGTCTCCTTCAGCACTCGCTCCTCGAATAACTCCGAGACTCTCTTTGAATTGATGACCAAACCGTCGAAATCGCACGAGAGCAGTCTCATCAACTCCTTCGCCGCCTCCCGTCCCGCAACGGTGCCCACGGTCTCCTCGTAGTTCGGGAGGTATTCGCCCAACCTCGTCTTCGAGGGAACCACAATCTGGCAAGTGACGGCCTCATCAGGGATAACTCCCGTTTCCCTTAACTCTTGATTGATCTCTCGCCTATCGGCAAGATAATCCTCCTTCCCATCCAGAATCACAAGATTGTAGGTCATCTTGCTCGCCGCCCCACTAGGCCTGAACTTCCTGCTATCATCCAGCTGGTCAGGAGCAAAGGGTCCACTAGGGGCAGCTGCACTCACCAGAGGCGCCCCTCGCCCAGAGCATAGGTGCCTTTTGTGAAAGTTCACCATCTGATTCAGCTGCGATAGTGCATAGGCACGATCCTCCAATGACGCACTTTTCATCCCAGCCTCAGTCAGAGGAGCCTCAGGCTTGTCATAGCTCGCCTTTCCGCCCCATCTCGCCGCGACCAGCTCAGCAGACTTCGCAGGGTCGATCAAATTTCCCGACCACTCAGGCATGTTGCTCAACCTCCTAGTCAACGCGTCTACCGACGCAGCCAAGTCTTCGTCCGTCACGGTGTAAGGGTCGACCTTCTCCCTGTCTTCTTGACCCACATCCGGAAGCCTATAATCCCCGCGGATGGCCTCCAGCGCGGCCCTCTCGGCTTCCTCAGCCTCCTTCTGCGTGGCCACTGCCCTCGGAATCAAGAGCGCTACCTCGGCCGGCAGCGACTTCTCCATGTCTATCGGAGTGTTCTTGGGAAGGATCCTTCGATCATCTCCCTCCCCGCTGTATTCATAGGCAGGAGCAGTCTTCCGATACTCCTCGACGGTAGCCCCTTTGAAGTTGGTAACCTCATT